GATTTTGTAGGGAAAGTATCAAGCTTTCACGTTAGGTAATCAAAAATTTTCTCAAATTCGTTTTGGACACGTTACAAATCCACAAAGTGAGAAGAAAATTTTTCGTCTTTTTCAGCTCGTACAATAGTTTTTGGTATGTAAAAATTATCAAACTCATATAAACTTAAACAATGTGATAAGCTCTTAAAAGTAGAGATTTCAAGCTTTAAAACCCTTTTTTTAAATTTGAATTTCATTCATTATTGACGAAGATATTGCAATATATACAACTTTGAGCTAAAAAATACGCGATGACTTTTTACTTAACCTAATATATATATATTATATATACAGAGTCCCCGAATTTATGATTAAGTACTTTTTGAATTATAAGGTTTGTAAATTACAAATATCGCCATCATAAACATTATTTGCGATAACTAATTAATGTTAAAACCTTCTAAATATTATTCAGCATGATAACATTTGTCAAAATCAGGACTTTTCAAGATTGTTCCTTTTATATTCATTTTTACACTAAAACTAGGACGAGCAAGTTTCACAGGACAAACTATAAAACCATAAATAGATTTTTTAAGTCTTACAACTATTACCCGTAATACTTTTCTGAACAATTATCACTTTTTAAGATTTTTTAGGGTTTTCATACTCCTTCCCCGCTCTGTATATGTATACTGAATAATCATTTACAAGTTAGATATTGACTTTTCTCACATTACAATTCAATACTGAAAACCACAAGTATATAATATAGAAAATATTATATAAATATATATAAAAGAATTATTTAACCCACTTCTATATTATTCTCAATATTTCCCAGTAAGTAAGAAAGATTTTGAAACATTTCAATAACATTGTAGCAATGTTATAACGTTGATACATTGTTGTTGAAATGTTCCAAAATGTTTCTTGCTTACTGGGCTTAAAAATAAATCGCTGAAATCGCTAAAATTGTTGAGATCTATATTAGTTGACTTGTTTTAATGTACAATATTTTAAACAAAATATATAAATTTCAGAATATTGTAATTATATGTTGGACTCTTGGTGCTGCTTGCAACATTTTAGTGTTATTTGGCCTTTACAAACGACAAATATCCGTTCTGTATACTGCTATCTATATTGCATTAAGTAAAACAGTTTGGGCCATAGGCATAGCATGGATTGTAATAATATGTTGTACTGAGCATGGAGGTTAGTTGATTTAATAATAGTATTAAATATAAAAATATATAAAAGTAATCAAAATATTGTCAAGAACTTTTTAAAAATAAAAATCGCCAGAAAGAAAAGGCTACTAGTCAAAGTTAATTGTTATGTGCTAATGATTAATCTACATTTAATATTTATTAGTTTATATAAACATTAAGTCATACAAATATGTCAACCTTCATCAGATCCTTAATGTAAAACATAATAATTAAGCTAATTGGAAGTAACAATAGAAATAAATATAAAAGAGTCGCAATCAGAGGCGTTACGATCGCTTTTGGCGCCCTGTGCTGAAATTTGCTTTTACTTCCTTTATTTTAAATTATCGTCTGATAAATTAGTTATCTCAAACATAATGCGAAACAATGACGCATTACGTTTGAGATAACTAATTTATCAGACGACAATTTAAATTCCAAGATCTTGGAGTGATCTTTAGCGTCGATAGATACAAGGCCTAATAAGCATTTTTGTAATAGACAATAATAAATCATAACAGAGCAATGTTATAATTTAGAAAAAAAAATGTATTCTTATCAAACGCTTTATTACAGGTCTTGTTAAGGAGTTCTTATCATGCAAAATTTGGATTCCTCTTAGCAGACTTACATATTGCGCTTATCTTTTACATCCTTTTATCATACGTTCGATTAGTTTGCATAGTGAAACATCTGCTCATTTAGAATTTCTACCTATGGTAAGTACACGAAGAATCAAAACTCCAACCTCGATAAAATAAATATACTTATTGTCTCAATTTTCATTTTTAGAGCGCTACGAGCGTAGAATACATAGTGATTAGTTATTTCTGTGCATATGTATTGTTTTTAATGGCAGAGTCGCCGTATATCCAATTAATGCGAATGTTCAGCCAACCTCGAAACAGAAAAAGGAACATATCATAATTTTACATACATGATTGCGATCAAAATAATACGATATTGTGTAATAATTGTAATTAAAATTTAACAATATAAAATTAAATTTTAGACGTTTGTCCCTGTATACATTTGTGTGAATATTCAACTGCGATGGAGCTAAGAAATAAACTAATTTGCGTGAACTATGTGGAAGAAACAAGTTTTAAAATAAGCATGAATTTAATAAATTGAGATTTTTTTTAAAGTCAACTATTGCGTAGAATTAATTATAATTTTAGGAAATTAATAAATAGTAAAACCCAAATCAATACATTAAACAAGCTATAGTTAGGTGTACTAAATAATATTTATTAATCACAAATTATAATTTTCCAATACGTAAGTTTCAATAGTACGTTTCGACTTAGTTCTTATCAGCCGCAAAATACATTAATATTCAAATATCTAATATCAAATATGTATCTTATATTAACATATAATATTATGAGAATCAAAATACCCGGCGTATTTTCCAGACTTCGACCTTTCAGATTATCACCTTTTTAGATCTTTGCAACATCATCTGACCGATATTCATTTCACTTATGTCAAGAATATCGAGAAAAGTATGGTCAAATTTATAAATTTAAAACAACCCCCTTTTTTCCTAAGTGGAATTCGGCAGCTTCCCGAAAGATAGCGCAAATGTATAGAAAACGAGGGAGATTATTTTGAAGATTATTAGTAACTAATCGACTTTTTATACATTAGTATCAAAGTTCAATGAAAAAACCGAGAATTAATTGCACGCTTAATAAATGCTTATATCATTCTTGCGTAAATTTATATACCACGTATGTAGTTCTCACAAACGCATACATATTCATGCATAAAAAATTTTTTACTGAGCTGCAGTTTCCACACAATATCATAGTCCAAGTATCATACTTAACCTCGACGTTTAGGACTGCATAATGTTCGTAGAGCTCGTAGATCCATCCGATTTGAGCGCTCACGCTATAAACATCTTTTTTTGTTTATTATATAGCTAAGATAGAATAAAGTAACATGCAATCTTAAGGGCATTGTTTCATTTTATCTTAGTTATATAATGAACGAGAATATAAAATCCAGTAAAAAACTAAAGAATAAAATCTTATCATATTATAAAATCATATCATATTATATAATTTTATAGCAATGGCAAAATTGCTTTTTCTGCTGAACCATTGTTAATTTTCTCAACTTTCTTAATTTTCTTAAATTTCTTAATTTTCTCGACGTCTTTAATGCTATTCAATCACTTTCAAATTTTTTATTTTTTATACACAATCAATACATCTGTCATATTGACAAAGATTATTTTAAAACAGATT